CCTCTTAGGTATAAAATGTCAATGAAAGGGTTTCTTCCCTACCTTCGCCAACTGAAACTTCAGCACCTCATACTACACTGAAATGGTTAAAGGCTAATTTAAAATACACTATTAGCTAATAGGATGTGAAAGAAGCTAGTGAGAACCACAAGGCTGAGTTTCTCCTCAATTTGGAAAGTCCAGTAGCTTGTAGATAGAATCCTTAAAAGCTCTGTAAATCAAAAGAATATCTGTCCCAAAGTTATCCAGAAATTGAATTTAAACTGAGCAATTTAACAAAAATGTTTTCTAACTTGCTTTCTTTACACTTTGACATGTGCACAAGAACATTATCTTGAATTTTGTCATTTGGGGAGAGAAAGGTGGTGAGGCTATAGGACCATCTATGTATTTTAATAGCATTACTTCTATTAAGAGTACAAAAAGTACAATTTCACTCAGAAAACTGAACGACTTAAGTCTTGATATATATCATCTATTTATCATCAATGGGTTAGATACTATTAACTACTGATGACTTTCTAGTGTACAAATACTCCTTCTGGCACACTTAGCAATTGACTCAGCTAACAAGAAGCATGTGGCCCGTTTTCTTTGGGTGCATCCTGCATACTGTGTCCACCATTAACTGCTTGCAGTGTAACTGCTAAGCACTCAGGATGACGTCAGTGGTTTCTAGAGCAAATTGCTTTGCAAAGTGAGCCTACAACTCACCATGAAGACATTCCAGTGCCTTGTACAACCAGGCCAGACATCTAAAGCAATGTAAACACGGCCCTATTTGTGTTTTTATAGCGGTCCACAAACCCACTGGGTCGTTTAGCATACCTCCAGTAAGACCAGTGTGGTGTTGGAAAACATCTATTACTGTCACAGTAAAAGCCCATCCCTGAGGTTAATAAGTCTTTTTAATTAAAAAAGCTGAACCAGAACTGGACTGCTCATTGATCATAGCTAAGCTTACTGGAATTTGTTCTTTTCATTCTGTCTCTTTTTACACAGAGAGAGATGTGTGAGAAGCAGTATACTACATAGATATTTGAGGAAGAGGAGTGTATGTAATAGCTGAACTATTACATTCTAACTTTAGGCATTGAATTACATTATGCAAATATGGTATTTCTGATTTCTGGCAGTTCTTAGCAAAAGATTTTACTTTTTTTTTACAGTGCGTTCATAAATAGTGTAATTTTCCATGGGCTGTGAGAGTGCTTTGGATAGCCAAAAAGAGTTATAGAAGTCAGTCCAGTCTAACTGCCCTACCCGACCCTACCTTTGCATCTAAGGGCAACACAGTTTTTCTCCATGACAAGATGGATAGCCTAAAAAATAAAAGTTTAATAACAAGACAGCATGAAAAATATTTGAAATCAACAATCTTCAAAAAACTACAACTGAAAATCCCCATGTTATAAGGACCCAAGGAGAGAACAGGCCAAATACACTGCATCATTCAAATGACAGTGTATTCACATTAAAATCACAGATATTAAGTACCACGTAATGACATTAGGTACTGATGAAAACCTTTCAGAATCATTTCAAATTTTATCGTTTGATGTTTAGAAGAGACATTGAAAATTCATGTTCACAATGTGAAAAGGGGAAATCTACATAAAACAACAGGTTAAGATGACTGACATCACTTTTTGCTAAAAACCAGAACTAAGGCAAATTCACCTTAGAAAACCAAGGAACTACTTTTAAAAGTTAGGGACTTAACTACCTGACCATAGCCAAACACTAACCTATAAAATACAATACATAATGGTAGTTCTCATTGGGGAGGCTCAGGAACCACTTGAATGCTTGTTAAAATGCAGGTTCCTTGACCTGCCAAAAATTCTGATTCCATAGATCTGAAGTAGAGCCTGGGCATGAATTTTGTTAATATAAACCAAGGGTTTGGAAATGAGCACTCTGAAGGTATTTTAATTAATGGAGGTTTAGCATATAAAATTATTAGGACCAGCCATATTATTCTCACATTAAATATTTGTAACACTGGTTCTCAACTTTTGAGAAAACCGGAGAACCTTTTAAGAAATTATGTGACCTTTCCCCCAAAATATGCATGCATACACACAAGACTTCCTATCTGGTAAGAAGTTCACACATCTTCTGGAAACCCCAAGTACAGGAATCCAAGCTAGAATAGCATTACCTTGAACATAGTTGCAAGCGGATCAGGTGAAGTTCTAGGTTCTTCAATAAACATTTTGGGTTACTTGTATAAACTACCTTTAATAATGGTCATAATTACATGAATTTCCCATAAGAATTAGTTGGCATCCATTAAAACCCTTGGAAAAATCAGGTTCAGCAAAAACCACTATCTATCCCAAAAGAATGTTTTCCTTACTCAAAAAACAACTTCAGTCATCACCAAGGCTGAAGTTCCTAAGGTACAGAGATGAAGAATCCTAGACACATAAATCAATCAAACTAGGGATGTTCTTAAATGCAAAAAGGTTTCTCATAGACTTATATCAGAAGAAAAACTTTTTAAAATTAGACATTACCTGAACTTTAACAACTTTAAATATCACATAACACAGCATATCTTTTATATGTTATCAAGGTATGAACAGAAAATCTTGTTAAAACTAAAAAACAAATCTTTAAAAAGTGAGACTAACAAATTTATCTGAACTATTTCAGCAATCTCAATAGCTGAAGTTTACAAAATATTTGCTAACTCTGATTTTGTGAACTCTGATTAAGATTTTATCAAGCAATCTCCTCAGCAGAGGACAATAAAAGCCACAAGAAACAAATGAGACTACATCAAACTAAAAAGCTTTGCACAGTGAAAGAAACCATCAACAAAAGAAAAAGGAAACCCACCAACTGGGAGAAGATATTTGCAAATGACATGAGATAAGGGGTTAATATCCAAAAAAAGGTGTTCCCCAAAAATATGTACACACTTCAAATAATTATTAATTTCACTTTTTCTTTTCAGATTTAACCCACTGAAATTAATAATTATTCAAAGTGTATATACATTTTTGGGGAACACCCTGTATATAGAAAACTCATACTACTCAACATCAAAAAATAAATACAAACAGCTCTAGCCACTTTGTCTCAGTGGATAGAGCATCGGCCTGTGCACCAAAAGGTCCTGCGTTCAATTCCAGTCAAGGGCACATACCTCAGTTGCAGGCTCCTCCCTGGACTAGGCCCTGGTTGGGGCTCGTGCAGGAGACAACCAATCGATGTGTTTCTCTCACATCAATATTTCTTTTTCCCTCTCTCTAAAAATTAATGGAAAAATATCCTTGGGTGATGATTTAAAAATAAAAAATACAACGAACAGGGATTAAAAAAATGGACAGAGGATCTGAATAGATACTTTTCCAAAGAAGACATATAGATGGCCAATGGACACATAAAAAGATGCTGGACATTACTAATCATCAGGGAAACACAAATCAAAACCAAAATAAGGTATCACATAACATTTGTCATATTGACTATTATCTAAAACACAACAAATAATTAATGATGGCAAGAATGTGGAGAAAAGGGAACCCTCATGCACTGTTGGTGGGATTGCAAGTTGGTATGGCCATTGTGAAAACCAGTATAGAGGTTCATCAAAAAATTAAAAATAGATCTATCATATGACTCAACAACTCCACTTCTGGGTAGCTATCTGAAAACTGTAACACTAATTCAAAAAAGATATATGCACCCCTATGTTCACTTCAGCATTATTTGCAGTAACTACGATATGGAACCAAACTGTCACTCTCAAACGAATCAAGATGTGTATTTATATATATATACATACACACATATACATGTCTACACACACAATGGAGTATTAGCCATAAAAAATAATGAAATCTTTCCATTGTGACAACATGGATGAACCAAGGGGGTATTATGCTAAATGAAATGTCAGACAATGAAGAACAAATACGGTGTGATTTCACTTACATGTGGAATATAAAAAAACAAAAGAAATAAACTCATAGATATAACAAACTTATGTTTGCCAGAAGGGAAGGAGGTGGAGGGAAAGACTAAAAGGGTGGAGGGGAATAAGAGGCACAAACTTCCAGTTATAAAGTAAGTCACAGGGATGTAGTGTATAGCATGGAAAATATAGTCTATAAAATCGTAATTTTGTACAGTGACAGACGGTTACTAGACTTAGTGAGATCACTTTGTAAGGTATATAAATGTTGAATCACTTTGTACTCCTGAATCTAAAATAATATTGTACGTCAACTATACTTTAATAAAAACTCTATCTAGCACTACATTACTTTTCCGTATAAAAAATGTGCTAGACTATTTAATCAAGTGTTTTAGCAAGTAGTTTTATTTAAAACTTGACAAAAGTTCAACTTACTAAATGTGTTAAGATTTTTTTAAAACTCTGAAGTAGATATCACATTACGTAGTGGGAACAAATGTCCCCAAAGCCCCCTGTCCAGGAAGGACAAGAAGGACATCAAGATGTTCTAAGCAATTTCCTGAACAGCAGGAAATGAAAGGCTGGAGATGCTGAGTTTTTGATCAGTTTACTTTTTTTTTTTTTTCTGAATAGGCTTACTCATTATTAACTGATGAAAGATAACACATATGATATTAAAAACTAACATCTAATGGTTCTGTCATGATTGTCAGTTAATGCTCAAGTAGGAAAAAATTTCATTTGCTTCTCTATTTTTATGGGGGGGGGGTCAGAACCTATCTATTGGATCATTTTGAACTGCGTCACATTTTACATTGTTAGCATCAACTGTAGAAAGCTGCTTTACTGCGTCACATAATTATATCCTCCATGGCAACACTATGCCCAATTTCATGCTGGTGAAAACTTTTTTGTTATGAGAGAAGTCTTATTTATTTCCACAACTCATCCAACTGACTGTTTCGATCACATAAAAATATGAAATTTACTGGGTCCACCTTGGATTTATTTTCTCCTAATGAAGAACCAGCAGATTTTTTTCTAGGTGTGATTTAATTGAAAACACTACTTCAACTTCAAATGTATTTTAATGATATGTACAGGCGTTAACAAATTACAATGAAAACGGAACCAGTTATGTTAATTCCACATAACTTAAAATCATGCAACACTGCATGGTAAAAACAACAGCTTTGTTCATATACAAAAGAGTACTATTTTGAGACTTATAATAGTATACTGAAATTTTTTACATAAGCTTTTTGCAAAGAGTATTTTATAAAAATTTAAAGACCAGATTAATTAGTAGTTAATACATTATTAGGAACGATAATAAAACATTAGGAAAGTGAGGTTACGAGTAATTAATTTCAAAATTATACCAGGTATAGGGTTGAATGTAGCCTCATGAAATAAATGCTTGGTTAAGAAAATAGTTTTGAAAAAGATCTCATATTGATGCTATGTATTAATTTTGTCAAATCAGGGTATATAAATCAATAGTCAAGTTTATTCAGTTAAAGAAAATATGCTATCCCTTTCTTATACTCATAAATAAGTACTTATATAGTCTTTATATACAAGTGAACAAAAGTCCATTGTAAAAAATATACTGCCAATCCTCTTATGCTTGAAGTAGCTCTTTATCTACATATTAAATTGCATTGATGAAAATGTCCAATTTAAATCACATTCGACCAGCATAAATATTTAAGCTGAATATTATTGTAAACAACAGAGAAAAACAAATTCTTTTATTTTGTCACTGGGTAGCAATCTACTTCTCAGTTTAGAATGCTATAGAAAGGCTCAACATTTAATTTCATAAAATCCAAAGCCATTAAATTTAGAGTAAACAAAGTGAATGGCTTCAAAGTGCATAATTTCCAACTCATCCACTTGTAATATTTATTCGATTCCAGTTCATCCACATCCACAAGAAAATAAAATGTACTTAGCTATAAAAATACTAGGGAATGTTATTGAAAAAGAAAGGCTATTTGGTAGAAGTAACTACAAAAATAATTAGTGTAAATCTTTGTAAAGCTTTAATGCAAGAACATCAGTACACTTTCTTTCCATTAATCTTAAAGCATGATCATTACCAAGATTTAAAATTTCCACCTTTCAAAAACTTGAAAAGAAGTTGCAACAAAGTGTCTCTTCAAAAAGTAAGCAACAAGAAGGATCATGCAGGTGTTAATCTGCTAACATCTGGGGACACTGATATCTGTGTGGAGCTGTCATCTCTGGCTCCACTGGCAGTAAGTACAGGCAAGGAGTTACTCTGAAACGCAGGTGTAGAACAAGCAGTCAAGCCAACATGTTCATCTTCACCCGTGTCTGAATCTGGTGTTGTGACTTCACTGTCCTGAAGCCCCAAAATCTCACAAACTGCTTGTGGCAATTCCTGAATATGAAAAACAAAACCATCATTCGCCATAGAGGGAAATTAACCACAAAGAAACACTTCTAATTAAGACTACACTGATTCCAGAATTTGAACATTTGTTCTAAGATTGTAATTGTTATGTTCCCTCTCAAACCTTCCTTCTTCACTCCAAAATGAAATCCTAACCACTTTTTTCATTAACTGGTTCCCTGATCTATTCTGAATCAACCCTCTTCACCCCACTCTATCACACCCACAAACATAGTTACTAATATTTTATTTATCTTTATTATTGAAAGTTACTAATATTTAGCATTTGTTTCATTCTCCTTGTTTTTCTACTATCTTATTCATACTTTCCCCCTCAATATACAAAGGTTCCTTTAAATGTAAGAAGGTACCACTGATATTTTTTGAACAGAATACCTACCAAATAAGTGTTTAAACTGAACCAAAATAAGCATTTGGAACCATGAACGAATGACACAAAGACCAAATAATAATTCTCATAAAAATGCAAAAGTCAAAATACATCTATGATTTGAATTCAGATAATCAAATTTGCCTTGTTATCAAACAAATTAAGAGCATGATACACAAATGTAATGGCATGGACTAATCGTTTCTGATTAGCAACTGTCTTTATTTGGAGACATTTCATATTTAATATGCGGTCCTATTCTGTATTCACTAATTCGACTAGGGAATACATACCAATGCTTAAATTCTACAGCATCGCCTGGCCGGCGTGGCTCCTTGGTCGAGTGTCGACCTATGAACCAGGAGGTCATGGTTTGATTCCCGGTCAGGCACATGTCTGGGGTGCTAGCTCGATTCCCATGAGGAGGCATACAGGAGGCAGCCAATGATTCTCTCTTATCATTGATGTTTCTATCTCTCTCTCTCTCTCTCTCTCCCTTCCTCTCTGAAGTCAATCAAAATATATTTTTAAAAAATTCTACAGCCTCGATGGTTGTCACAGAAATGTTTTCATTACTTTTGCCATTTTGCCCTATTATATGATTTTCATCTAGCATGGTTAACCAACTGTTTTCAATTACATGTTGTAAATCTATAATGGTAAACAAAATGCTAGCCAATGCTTTGTGGCTGCCTTCAACTTGCTGAAACAGCCATTTATATTATTTCTAAGAAGAAAAATTTGTTCTTGAGCTCAACCCACCAAAAACATTAACAAAAAATCTTGTAATTATTTAAAATTCTGTATACCTTGAGCCCTGGCTAGATAGCTCAAATGATTAGAGCATCATCCCGTACACCAAAAGGTTGTGGGTTCAACCTCTGGTTAGTGTGTGCACTGGAGGCAACCGATCAATGTTTCTCTCTCACATCAATGTTTCCCTCTCATATCAATGTCTCTCCTCTCTCTCTCTCTCTCTCCCTCTCCTCCTCCCTCTCAATAAACATATCCTTGGATGAGGATTAAAAAAAAATTATATATATATATATACTGTATACCTTGCATTTTACCATCTGTAGAGAAATTGCTTCTGCCTTGCACAGTACATCTTCTACATCAATTTTCATGGACAATTCATTAATATGCTAAAGTGAATCAATAAAATAAAATGACAATCAAAATTGGAAGCACTGTATGTTCTACTATATAAATAATTACCACTTACATTTTACTACAGATAAAATCCTTAAAATAAAAATATCCACACACTACAAACAATCAGAACATTTAATACATCTTTTCTTAGATCATTTCCTGTTTTAAAGCTGAAAAATAACTAATAAGCTTATGGAACATTAAATCTAACAGCTGTCTCAAGTCTACTATCTTAAAGTTATAAGCAAAATAACAATATTCTTTTAGAAAATTAACTATTAAAAAAGTGTACATTGAATTTTCCTTCTCTCCTAACTACTGGCCAATATGTAATTGATGAACTGTCATTCCCAGAGTCACTGACAGTTTAAATTACTCGAGGGATTCAATAAATCTTCAAGAAAATGTTTTGTGTATCAAAACAGGGAATAAAAACAAAATATTAAAATCTAAATTAAAGAAATAACTACCTTAAGTATTTCATTAAAACCATAATGCTTTTCCATTATTTGCTGCTTTTCTGATTCCAAAATAGCACAACAGAGAAGAAGATGGAAATTTTTACATGGTAGTTCAGTCCACATTACCTATAAAACAAAACAACTATTTACTAAACTATAATAATTCTAAAACATTTTTCTCATATATACAATGCTGAACTCTAAATGCCTTCTATGCAAAGCAGAAGGTGCTTAGATGAGGTAGTCCACCAGTTTTCTAGTTAGGAAATGAGGGGTAGAGAAGGAAAGTCTTACCTTTACCTACAAAGTAATTAACATTTTGTGAACACAATGAATTCCAAATGTGGCTCTTTAGGTAACTACAATAAGCAAATCATCGAGTCTAACCAATATGATGAATGGTATTAATTAAGGAGCCACAGCTATGAGGTTAAGTTTAAGGTATAAGGGTTAGAGGCATTTTCAATATTTTCCTGAACTTTCAATTACATGCTGTTTCTCACTTTTAAATCACCTTCTGTCTCTAGAAAACTAAATCCTGTAAATAAAAAAGATTCAGTTACACAATGCATGGAACCAAAAACACCCACAGACAACTCTACATTTTAAACATCATATTATATGTCACATATTGTGACAAAAACTCAATCAAATACCCCAAATTTATACCCAAATGCATAAAATATTTAATCAATAGCTGCACTTCTTCCTAAATATTTACTTATGTCCTCAAATTTAAGGCCTTAATCTCCCCCTGTTTAATGTACCTAATAATATCTTTTTTTTTAATATATTTTATTGATTTTTTATAGAGAGGAAGAGAGAGAGAGAGCTAGAAACATTGATGAGAGAGAAACATCGATCAGCCGCCTCCTGCACATCCCCCACTGGGGAAGCGCTCACAACCCAGGTACATGCCCTTGACCGGAATCGAACCCGGGACCCTTCAGTCCGCAGGCTGACGCTCTATCCACTGAGCCAAACCGGTTTCGGCCCTAATAATATCTTACCTGGAAACATAAAAAGACCCATATAACCATACTATTAAAGCATACTTAACATGTTTTCATTTCTTTTACCAGGTGTAAATCAAGTTGAATAATTTCCAGACTAATCCAACTTTTTAAAGTTTAAATGAAATTCAATTAACCTCCAAGGGTTTCCACTTAACATCCCAATATATTTGGTAAACACAGATTAGGAAGTTATTCTAACTATGTGGTAATAATATTCTCAATCCATCCTTTTAAAAAAGTTGAGTACTAAATAACAAAATTGACAACCTTTAAAAATATGATTCCAGGTCAAGAACATACGAGTTTTGCCTGGCAAGTGTAATCCAGTGGTTGGGCATCAACCTATGAACCAAGAGGTCACCAGTTTGTTTCCCAGTCAGGACACATGCCCAGGTTGCAGATTCAATCCCCAGTATGGGGCATGCAGGAGGCAGCTGATCAATGTTTCTCTCTCATTGATGTTTACATCTCTCTATCCCTCTCCCTTCCTCTCTAAAAATTCAATAAAAACATATTTTAGAAAAAGAAAAGAATATGTGAGTTTTTCTTGAAACTCTGGTTTCCTCATCTGTTAAATACAGATAATAGAATGTGTTATGTTATTATTCATACTTTGCTCTAACTTAAGTTTCTCTTACAAAGCAAAATACAAGTCTGCTCCCTCCCAATATCTCAAACTATAAATACAGTGCCATCTAAACTGATTGGCCTGCTAAAAAGTCCTTGAACTCTACAACCTATACCAGAATATGGCAGAGCCTCACACAGTCAAGTCGCCCCAGCAGAGAACACAGACACAAATGATCTAGAGAACTGGATCTGGAAAATCAACTAGCCCCAAATCTCATAAGGATTATAATTTATAGAAAAAGGCTCGAAAGATCAGGTATTCAGCTCAAGATCATTAATTTTAAGGAGAGACAACAAACTATCAGAATTGTGAAACATACTTGCTTTAGAAATTTCAGGTAGACTGGTATAATCCATTTATATTCTATAGAATAAATTGTTGCTTTCCATAAGAAATAATACATTTGTATAATTTAAGAACTTACCTCCCATAATCGAAGAATATCTAGAAAACTAAATTCCCTTTTGAATCTGATTAAAAGCCATCTGAAGCAAAAGTAAAGGTATCCAGAGTCCTGAGATTCTATACAGAAGGGAAAAAAAAATATATGGCTTACTCTCATGCTATTTATCTCAGAACACAGTGACCTATTTCAAACTCAAATTTCTCTATGCATTTTAGGCTATTGAAAGTCCTATAAATTTGTCTTCTACTAATTAAAGGAAACAATTCAAAGTTTGCAGGCTAACTTCTTTAAAAGAAAACAACCAAATAACAACAAATAACTCATTTTAAAAATAAATTGTTTTAAGACATAAGTACACAGACCAGCCAATGTGGCTCAGTTGGTTGAGCATTGTCTCATGCACCAAGAGGTCACCAGTTGAATTCCTGGTTAGGGCACACGGCCCGGGTTGTGGGCTTGATCCCCATAAGGGACATGCAGGAGGCAGCCCATCAATGTTTCTATCTCTCTCCCTCTCTTTTCCTCTCTCTGAAATCAATAAAAACATATTAATAAAAAAATATAAAAAAGAACAATAACTTTTTTAAAAAATATTTTTAAGCCCTAATCAGTTTGGCTCAGTGGATAGAGCATCAGCCTGCAGACTCAAGGGTCCCAGGTTCGATTCCGGTCAAGGGCATGTACCTTGGTTGCAGGCACATCCCCAGTGGGGAGTGTGCAGGAGGCAGCTGATCGATGTTTCTCTCTCATCAATGTTTCTAACTCTCTATCACTCTCCCTTCCTCTCTGTAAAAAATCAATAAAATATATTAAAAAATAAAATAAAATGAAAAATATTTTTAAGACATAAGCATGCCAAGACAGTTTGGTCCTACACTTTTATTCCTCAGAGTAACCCTGGCAACAGCAATAGAACATATATGTCTTTAAAAGAGTCATTTACATTTTTTTCTCCCTATGAATTACCCTACAATTTGTTGGGTATAGTTCTGATTCACTACCTTACCTAAGTAACTGCAAAATCCACTGTCCAACAATCGAAGTAAGGTACTTAGTTGAATTAGCTGGGTCTTCATGCCTTGCATTTGTTCTTCAAAATTCTGGTGCTTTATAGAAGAAAATACATGTTACCATATAAGTAATATTTAGTAAATATTTTATAGTACATAACTAACTAATGACTAAATCATGAGTCTAAAAACAAATGTTAGACTCATACCATCTATACTAATAAAGGGGTAATATGCGAATTAGACAGGACGTCTTCCGGACAAAGCCGCAGTGGCTGCTGCTGCAAGAGCTGGGCAGAGGCTCAGGCAGCCGCGGCAGCTGGCAGTGGCAGCAGCAGCAGTGTGATGGGGGAGTCACCTTCTCATGATTGGCCCCGGCTGCCTCCCGCAGAGGGAGGCCAGAGGCAGCAGCAGCGAAAGGGTGATGGGTGCAATGCCTTCCCATGATCAGCCAGTCGCCTCCCACAGAGGGAGGCCAAACTGTGGCTCCCCATGGGGAGCGGGCCTAAGTCGTCAGTAGGACATCTCCTGAGGGTTCCCAAACTGTGAGAGGGGGCAGGCCAGATTGAGGGACCCTCCCTCCCAGTGCACAAATTTTCATGTACCAGGCCTCTAGTACTGATTATATTTTTTTAACCGTTTCACTGCTATCGCGCTCTTCTTATGTTACTCCAAAAATGCGAAGAGCGTGATAGCGCTCCTGTTTTTTTTTTATGCCAAGACTGCGGAGAGCATAATAATGCTGCTCCAAAACACTAGAATTTGTATAAAAAGTGTTTTACATTTTTTCCCATACACGCGCAATTAGTGCCGCAGTTTTGGCATATGTCCGAAAAAATATGTCAGCAGCCAAACGGTTAAATCACAACAAATTAAAAAGCTAGAGCAACATTAAAAAAGACGGAAAGAGAATCCTTGGTCTCAAACTAGGGATTATTTTCCCCTCTATTCCTTTGATTTAGATAAAAAAGAATGTGGAAACAATTAACTGTAGACTGATTGACATACTAATTTCTGACATGGAATAAGAGATTTAGTAAAAGGAAACACATCTGGGAAATAAACTTTCATCAAATCACTTCCATTTTAAAATACTTCTTCAAATTATCATAAGAAAAATCTATTTTAGTTTTAACATGTTTCATTTTAAAGAATTAACTATTTCTTAGGTTTGATGACATTAAGGAAATCTGCGATGTCAAAACCATCTTCATGACAATACTAGAAGATTATATGCATCTTGCACTTTAAAATCTCTCACAAGATGGGAAACATCTGTAATAATGTCAACAATTTTTTTTTAAATCTCCCAAAGTATAAAGGTTGCATAATGTGTGATAATGCAAAAGACTCAATCCAGAAGCAGGTAGGACTAAACTAGACATTAAAGAAAATGGAAATGTAGAACAATCCCTCTTCTCAGCAAATCTGTTTTTGTTTTGGAAAACTAAATTTCCATTTTAAAATGTTATACATGTTAAAGTGTAGTATGTTTACTGTTACTTTAAAATGAGTAAGTATACAAAAAACAGAATGGGAAGAACCAAGATGGCGGCATAGGTTAACGCCGGAGTTTGCCGCCTCGAACAACCATTTCAAAAGTGAAACTAAAAGACGGAAGGGACATCATCCAGAACCACAGGAACGGTGGCTGAGTGGAAGTCCTACAACTAGGAGGAAAGAGTAACGCATTCGGACACTCAGAGGAGGCGCAGTGCTGAAGGCAAATTCTGAGGTGCGGAGTGCGCGGAGC